CAAGTCCAACTCTTCCCTGTATAAACTCTTCCAGAACCATGGACAGGTTTGCTACAGTAGCCTTTTCAGCCACAGAAATCTGAAGACGTCAAGGATCAGTAAAGCCTTATTTGTAGTCCATATAGAAAAGAGACTGCTAAATCACTGTGAGATGCTGGAATATCGATGAATCAAACACCTGGCCATTTGCAAAAGCTGATGATGCTCCAAGTAACCACAAAGGGGGGGCAAACCCATCTCTGGACACTACAGCTGGGTGGTGAACAAGATAAGGGAAGACGCTGAAAGGAGGCAAATCGTGTGAGGTGGGATAGTGCTTTTTATCATGCCAGTGTCCTTACACAAGTGGCTCAGCTTCCCACACAGCCTGAAGGTACTCATCCTTTCTGGTAATTGACTCAACTACACTGAATTAAGAGGCAGCTGTAACTTTGTTGTGTCCCATGATCCACAGTATTACATTACCTGCCTAAAACTCCCTACTCCAGCACAGGTACCTGGGCATTCCCACTGAGCCTGAGTGTTATATTAACCCACTGGACTTTGTGTGGCTTGCGCTTCCCTCAGCCCCAATGGATCGAGACTGCGATCATTGCTTCAACCAACAGATACAGAAATTGCAACAATCACATCTCATCTCTGGACCCACGTGGTGAATATACACCTTTCTAATATTATCCTTTCTTTTTCTTTCTTTTCCTTTATACATTCTCTTAAGTGTTAATTTTTATGCTTTTATACTATTGAATTTCTAACCAAAACTGCTACATTTCAAAATTAGCCGAGTATCTTATTCTACCTTAAAGTTCTCAAGTTTGCAAGTAAAAGCTTGATATTGAACCTCCCAAGATTTTTTTTTTTCCCATGCACTGCTCAGAGTAAATCAAACTTTTTCCAAGTGGACCATGACATAACAATGACGTAACAGCTTCCCAGTACTTTGTGTAAGTAACCATTAAGAAGAGTCAAAGTCCTACATAAGTGTGGCAATATTGGCATTTGAATAATAGCCATGCAAGACAGCTTTCTCATGCACTGTGCATTTTGGGAAAATGGGGATCCACCTCTGTTTGACATAAAAGCACAGAATAGCAAGCACCTGCATGATGCAGGTTGTCCTGATCTCAGCGCAATGTGCTCAGTTTCTATAGCATGACACCTCCTTTGTTTCAATCTGACAGCACCAGAACTGCAAGCTGCACATTAAGTCATCTGGAACTCCCTGCTGCCATACCCATCAGCAGCACAAAGCTGAAGTGAGGTTTGCACAGTCCCTGAGCCGTCATCATGATTGCCACAGCAGCCATACACTGTGGTACAGGAACAAGAGGGAACAGTAGAGGCAAGAGGAAAATATCTATTACTTGCTGCTGTGAGCTAGAGATGGGATTTTACTTTTTTCTTTTAGTGGGAAATTAATCAAATTGTACCTCTTGCCTCTTTGTGGAAATGTGTTCCATGAATGAATGCATGCACACAAACCTACGCCCTATGACCACACTCTCTTTGTTCTGCAATTCCTTCTTGAAAATGCAGTAGCATCAATGATGCTATCAGTTTGCTTTATGTAGTCACTGAAACTTCAGCTATTCAAGGAAACAAATTAAGTCGAAAATGGTCTTGGCAGTAATAAGAAAACAAACTTAACCAGCAGGTGGCATACACTTTATTGCTGGAGTTAATGTGCCATTTTTTATCACTAAGGTGTGATAAAAATGATTGGACCTATCGTGATTCACAACAATTTCCATTTTCTATTCAATGAATAAAAGATTAGGTGTATTCACTCTCAAAACACTATTTTGGAATAATTAGTTTTATGGCAAACATCTGTCACTGCCGCAGGTCTGATTGCTTTCAAGGACACAGACCTTTCTGGCTTGCCAAAGTGGCCATTCCCAGTGGCTGCCCAATGGAGCTCCACAGACAGACCCATGCAGCTTGCTGGAAAACACATTCCGGCTTCTGAGAAATTCACATAATGATTTGTGAACAAAGCACTCCAGCAACATGCCAGTCCAAGCTGAAAAATAAAGTGCTCTCAAAAGAGTAGAGCAGCCTGTATTTGCGAGAAAACTCAGACACCAGATTTACTATCTTTAAGGGGCAATACTAAGACTAATTTGTTTATTGAGACAGAAGCAAATACTCCTTTGAAAGCTGAAAACAGACTTCTGAGTTATTACCCAACACAATGTGTTTTTCAGGGATGGCTGAAGTTAAGTCTCCTAGGCTGCTTCCTGATTACTTAGCTTTGGTGACCCCTCATGCTTTTACGTTAGCATAAAATAGGTCTTGGCATAAACGTTTAAAAATAATTCTGTGTAAATATGACAGCAGAGAATCTCCATAAATAAGCTATAAAATAGTATCCTACCCTTGTAATCTACAGCTATATGTACACAGATAGATATGTGTAGTCTACTTCATTTTAAATAGATGTTTAAACCTTAGCCCACATTAAGTACCTTGGTCCAAATACATTTCTGAAAAAACTCTGATACTTTTAATGTCAACTCAGAGAAGTATGTAATTTCATAAAAATTATTCATTGAATTGAGAAGTGAAAATTCCTCTGTCTTGCAAATCTAACACACCTAGATCACTCCCCTTCCAGGGCCTCACCTTATCATTCATCCTCTGTGCTTCAGCTTTTATTCAACAAAAAATTTAAACTTGATCAAGTACACGGAACATTACACATAACAACAACAACAACAACAACAACAACAACAACAACAACCACAACAACGCTTCCCGGGTGTACAATTCAGAAATCATTATTTACAAGTGAAATCCAAAATGTCAGAACTTGAAAAATCTCATGATCTGAGAAAAGGGGCAATTTTTCCTATGATTATGCTTTTTCCCTGGTTACAACACTCGTATCAGATTTATACAACTGATGCCAGACTTTTCACACATTTTAAGCAGGTATAGAAGGAACAATTATTTCTAAGAAACCTTTTTGTTCCTTGCATTTGTTTCTTGCATTTTATTTTCATTCTCCTCATCCATGATTCAGCTGTATTGACGTACTTTATGAGCATCTTCCTGGCTGTACCCTGTTTGCACTCAATTATTTAGTGGCACACAGAAATAAGACATGCTTCTCCTGTGCTGTCTGCTTTGTTCTCCATCAATCCAGCAGCTGCAAAATCAGAGAGGTAGGCACAGTGACCACGAACACAGAGAAAATAGCTAGATCAATCTAGCTGCTGCTGAGCTCTCTGAGACAATCTGTTGCCTCTTCCATCCATTTTTTGAGGCGTTGATCAGACTAATGATGGTCACCTCATCAAGCAGTGTTTTTCCTTAAGTCAACAACCAAATTAGAGGGTCCTTTGAGGAAGGACAAAAGCTGGGACAATTGTGGAAATGTGAAGCATCTAGCTTTGTAGGAACAAAAGACTTCTTTAAAGTCACCACTCACCCCTGGAAGTACTTCACAGCCCCAAGGTCACCCATTCCCTCTGGTTATGCTGCCTTCAGGACCATGAGCACCACCTTTCTTTTGCATACATACAGGAGGCTGTGAGTCTTACAGGACACTATTAGCCTAGCAACCACACCTGAGACATAAAATCTTTCCAGCTTACCAGTATTAGAATTAGCTGAGTACAACTTAGGTACTAGACAGAAACAACTGTTCTAATGTATTAGATTTATATATAGTTAAGCTAGTGTTAAAAATTCAAATTCAGAATACTTAATTTTGGGCGCACCATCTCCTGAGTAATAGCTCTTCACAAGATTAGTAGGTGGAGAATGTCAGTGGTTACAAATGATGGATATCTGCAAAGAAACCTGTAACTAATGCACAGCCTTGCTTGGACTACAAATCTTAATGTGAATACTATGGACAGAATCTTTACAGTTATTCCTCATTAGCAGGGTTTGTTCACAGCCTGACAACCCGTTCTGGATTTAGATGTCTGGAATAATCAAGAATTGCATTTTACTAGTCTAGATAATTCAATATCTTCCTCTGCTTTCTATCTGTCATTCCTTTTTCATTCCTGCCTTTGTCCCCCTTTTTCCATTCCTCCCTCTCTTCCTCAGTCTTTTCTTTTCTCTTCTATCTATAAGTATGCTTTTTAGGTCTATATGCAGAACAGTCGTTTACAAGTAGGTGCTATTATTATTATAATGATTTATTATTGCTACTATTAGAATTACTACTACTACTACTACCACCATCACTACTACTATTACTACTGAAATGCCCAAAAAATAATTAATGCTGTTATCCTAAAAAACTCACTCTTTCTGATCAGTGGATCAGAAATGTTACAGCAAATTTGCTTTAGGGTATTATCATCAACATTGATGTGAACCAAACCCAAACCTTAGAAGAAAGTTTAAGTTATAAAACTTAAGCATGTCTGTCCTATCAGTTTGTGACAGATAAAATCCACAAGAAATGAATCACAATTTTTTTCAGTGTGCTTTTCCTTCAAAAATATTTCTGCAAAAGCAGCCTCATTGATCTCCAAGAAACTGTTGAAAGATGTTGTCCTCTTCAAGAAAATACAAGAATGTGTTCAAAGGATAGCCTTGCCACTGCACAATACGAGCCTCAGAGACAAGCTGCTTTCATTTCATATCTTCACAGTAGGGTAATAGTCCTTGTGATACTTCTGCAACTCTACAGCACCTTTAAAATACAATCCCAGGGACAGATGCATAATTATGCTTTTTCTGCTTTCTGTAGTTGCATGAAGTAGAATTGTAGTTATGATATGCCTGAGGATGACTGAAAAATAGTAATATCCATGTGCTACTAGCTAGATTCTATGTTGTCAGAGGAAATGTAGAGGAACTGACAAAAGGGATCAGATTTGTTGCATTAATTACTTTAAAAGCAAAAATATAGAGTAAAGTAAACAAAAGTCAGCATGATATCACTTTAAAGTCTAGAAAACAGAGATCAGATTTATGATATCTTCCAACAGGTACATAAAAGACTTGATCAAAACAATGCATTGAACTCAACATACCAGCTCCTTCTTCTTCATGCACTCCATGAGGATAATGAAGAGGTGCTGTGCCTGGGTTCGGGTGTATGTGAAAGTCTTCTGGATGGTAACTAGCAACTGGTCCCTCAAAGACTCGTTGATAAGTCTGAAATTCAAAAAGAAAATATTAAGTAAAAAACCAGACATGAGTGAACACTGTAACTTCAACTTTTTTTCAGGGACAAAGTTCAAAAAAACAAGAGACAGCAGATCACTGAAGGTTGTTTTGGGCAGGTTTCAAGATCAGAAATTGCTGAAACCATAAGAGACAAATTGGAAAACACTGCTCTAGGAGAAAATGTTGATTGTGCTGAGGTCCCTTGTCCACAAAGTTTTCATATCAGTTCCCACATATTGCATGACAGAAGGTCATTCAAACTATCAGCTCAGTGGGATTTCCTAACAAAAACAAGAACCATACTGACAGTCTGAATTTGAGGGACACCAACACTTTTAAGTGAACTGAAGACTCCTTTCTATCAGTGAGTTAGAAAAATTCAACTTGTAGTTAATTTTATGAAACTGGGAACATTTATGTTGTCAGTGGTTTTGATTTTAGATTCAATATGTCAATTCACCCTACTGATGCTACACAAGACCTCATAAGCAAACAAACAAATTTCTCTGCTCCTTACTCCACTCAAAGAAAACATTTTGGTTTTGGCCATGTTGATCTTCCTGAAGCCCAAGAGAACCCATTTTATATTCCTCCTCAATGCTAAGGCCATTACTTGCAAAAAGTGGCCCAACAGCAGAAATAAATAGTAATAGTACATGAAATATAAGTACTACCTATCTCTTAATAACAAAAAGCCTGTTCCTCAGGACTTTTCTGGGTGAAACATTTCAGTTCTCGATGTCAAAATTACAAAATAGTGGGCTTTAATTTAGAACAGGTATTATTTGGTCCTTCAATACTACCAGCAGTTTTCTCACTTAAAAATTTTATCTCAGTGTTTCAAATTAGCTAAGTTGGAATATTTTACGGAATAAGTCATTCAGTGGAGCGAAAATCAGATAATCTTCATGTCTCACACTTTAGGCCAGAAGATAAAAACTCATTTAGTCCTGCAGCAACTGCAGAGAAATATCAGGAGGAGCAGTTATCTAAAAGCCATTGTTAGCTTAGGGCAGCTGCTTTCGGAGAACAATGACCAAATCCTTCATTGTTGCATACTATTGGCTAAAGGTGCCTGCACTGAAGAGGCACAAATGGGACTGCAGGATATTCACTACAACACTATATTTCAAATCTAATTTATTATCTAGTCTTTATACCCGCAGCAAACATGTTGTTAGAAAAGACAACAAATGGGAATGGGAAAAAAGTGCATGGAAGTACATAGAAGATCTGACATATGGAATGCATATGTTCTGTACTACGCGAATTTGATTTTGGCAGTAAATATTCCTGTTGAGTAGATCTTTGACTTCAAAAAGAAGCCTGGAAGGCATATGTCAATATGTTTGCATTAAAATGAGTGTACATGGGATTTTAGATCATGCTGTGTGGACGGATCACTGTTCTTTCTATGCCTGGCTTCTTCTGTTGTATTCTACTTTATCTCAGACTCCCTCTGAGTGGTAAGTCTTCCTCTGCACTTCCTGTTTTCATCTAAGAGTGGTCTGGCTCCTGGATGTCCTATTTCCTGGGATGCTGGAGAGGTAGCAACCCTGCATCTATTGCTCATGCATTAGGCAGCATGCAAGCATACTCCTTCCCTGCAGCATGACCTGCCTCCCTCACAAAAAGGCAACACGTGATGAGTTAAAACTTCCAGCCCTCTTGGAGGACAACACTGGAGATGGCAGCAGAAGAGTTGCTGTGTGTGAATTACAAGAGAGATAACCTGACCTTGCTCTGTACAGCAGCAAGGATGTTGCAAGCACAGGGGGACATGAAACACAATGTCAAGAATACAAATAGAAATGTAGGACTCTCTGCTAAAGAGAATCAGCTTGGAAATACTGATACTCAGACAAGCACTAATATGCTTTGAGTTGCAGGCTAGTAGGTAATGATAGAAATTCTGATTTTAGGCTCTTGAAAAAAAGGTGTTTGAAATTTGCTTTAATCAAATTGAAACAAAATGGTGCTATCACTCTATTTATAAGTAGATCAGAACGATGCAATTTTCCATCCTTTGAAGGAAGAAATTAAAAAGAAGTTATTCACAATGAACAAGTTTTCTAAAAACATCACCTGGAGAAGCTAAAGAGATTCATATAAATAACTAATTTCCTTGGAAACTATATATGAAAGTGAAATATAGGAAAGAACAGGGAAATTATATTAAAATTAATGGACTTGGAAGATTCTTGAATTAAAAATTTCAGAAAACATTTCCAAAGTTTCTGGAATGTAATCCATCCCACTTTCTTATAATAATCTAATTTTCCTTAAAAAATGTGTAGAATCCAAACGTGAAATTTCATTTCAGAAATTGTCTCTCTTTCAGGCCAACACACAGAGAAAGCAAGAGAAAGTTACACTGAGTGAAAGCAGAATTGTCTCTTCAGAAACCATCATTTTTCTTTCTTGAATTAAAGCTCTCAGAAACTCTATAATAGTATTACTTTAAACAGCATGAAAAGCAAACTTCATGTGAAAGATACAGAATTTAAAAAACCCAAAAATTCAAAAGTGCTTCCTTAACTACAGGGTAAAACATCCATAGTGCTGCTCAGAAACTTCCTGTAGTCATAATTTTATTTATGGAGTTTTCTACCCTCACTAAATGTTTTTCTTTAACATCTCCTTGGTCTGCAAATCTACATCAAGCCTATTCAACGTCTTTGTAGATCAAAAACTTGAAGTGATTATAATTACAAACATAAACAAAACAGCAATCTTTCCAGTAAAGTAATCATAGCTTTGTTTGCACTGAAATCAGTTATATCAAGAATGTGTCACTTTTATTCCTTAGGAGTCTATAAATGTTAGAAGATATCAAAACGAAGTTCCCAATTGTGCAGTCCAGCCGGGACAAACACAAGCTGTTCCATGCTATTAAAGGCAAAAAAGGTTAAATGTCTGTCTATGAGGCAGACACCAAATCCAATTTGTGTTAAACAAGTAATTTTACAGAGTACTGTGAGCAAAACAACTATGACTTGCAGGTGGGGGGATGACTTATCTGCTTTGCAAACACCACTACATTTCTTACACACACACCTTAAATCCGTACTTTTTCAAATCAAGGATTCCTAGTTTTAGATTCAGGAAAAGAGATGGGCCCACTTTACCAGACTGAAACACTACACTTATGAATTCCATCAAAGTCACCATAGACTGAACAGTGTCAGAAGAAGACAATATTTTTATCATCTTTCTAGTTGGCTTCAGTTCTAAAAGTATTTTGCAACATGCCAGTAAAATCCTTTTTGGGGCATTTTGATGGCATGATTCTCTGAATTCCACTTACTTGACATGGAAAGAATACTGCTCCTGCCTAAACAAAATGTACTACAAAACAACTGTGTAACCTGTTCTTTTTCTTCCTCATGTAGTTTGAGGAATTCTTTCATTCTTTCATTCCCAAAATATATAAGACATGGCCATTATCCTACGAGTCCAGGTCTATTCCGCTTTTTTTTTCTTTCCCAGAGATTCCAGATTGCTGATGGAATGTAGGTAGTTAATGTAAAAAAATCTGTCATCTAAAGTAGAGCTATATACAATTACATTTATTTTCAGAACAGAAATTTAGTCATAATTGTTGCCTAAGTGTGTGTGGTGTTTGCTTGTTTTCAGAAGATGCCAACCTTAGTTTTTACACATCAGATTATCAGAACTGAACTGTATGGCTTTCCAGAAAAGTCAGGATATTGAATTTTAGGAAAAAACCCTTGCATGGGCTCAAGAAGTTAGTCAATAGGACCCCCTGGGAAATGGCTCTCTGGGCAGAAGAGCTGCCCTGGGAAATTGCCCTCAAGGAGCAGAACAGAGCTGGTAGATCTCTAAGGACACTTTCCATACAGCACAAGAATGAGCCATCCCCAGGTGAAAGAAATAGGACAAGGAAAGAAAGAGACCACCATGGAGGAGTGGAGACCTGCTGGTTAAACTAAAAAAAAAGCAGAAAATGCACCATCAGTGGAAAAGCTACAGGTAACCTGAAAAGAATTTAGGGACACAGCCCAGCTGTGCAGGATGGGGTGAGGAAAGCCAAGACAAAGAGGAAGCTGAACTTGGCAAGGGATACACAGGATAACAGGACGGGTTTCTATGGGTATGTCAGTGAGAAAAGGACGCTTGAAGAAAACATTTACACCATCTGGTAAGAATGCTTGCAAACTTGCAATGATGTACAAAGAAAAGGCTGAGGTATTCGACTACTGCCCAAGGCCAAGTGCAAAGGCCTGCATCTGTGTTGGGACAACCCCCAAGAGCAGCACAGGCTGAAGCATGAACAGATCACAAACGGCCCTCTGGAGAAGGACCTGTTGTGTGAAGGGCTGGACAAGAGACAACAGTGGGCACTCACAACCCAGAGAAACAATCATGTCCTGAGCTGCATCCAAAGCCCTGTGGGCAAGCAGGGCAAGAAAAAGGATTCTGTCTCTGCTCTGCTCTGATTAGACCCCACTTCAGTGCTGCATCCAGCTGGGGTCCCCAGCACAGGAAGGACATGGACCTGCTTGAGCAGGTGCAGAGGATGTCTTGTTTTTGATCAGAGGACTGGAACACCTCTCCTGGGAGGAAAGGCTGAGAGTTGGGGATGCTCAGCCTGGAGAAAAGAAGGCTCTGAGGAAACCTTATTAGAGCCTTTGAGTGCTTGTAGGTTGCCTGTAAAAAAGATGGGGACAGACATAGGAGCAGGGCCTGTTGTAATAGAACAACAACAATGTTTTTAAGACTAAAAGAGTGTTGATTTAGATTAGATATAAATAAAATGATGTTTACTACGTGGATGATAAAACAGTGAAAGAGGTGTCCCAGAGAGCTGGTAGGTGCCTCATCCCTGGCAACATTCAGGGTCAGGTCAGACAGGGCTCTGAACAAGCTGATCTACTTGAAAATGAACTTGCCAGGGGAGTCAGATTTGATGACCTCTAGAGATGCCTTCCAATCAAAACTTTTCTATGTTACTATGATTCATTGTT